GACAAAAGTGAATTCCGGATACTGCAAATTTGATAAGTAGGACCTCACCTTTTAGAGAGATAGCAAACTTCAGTTTGGGGGGGGTTGGTGACTCCAAAAATATCTGGGATCATGTCCCCATTGAAACTTTGAATAAAAAAACAAAACAAGAAAAGGCATTGTAAGGCAAAAGTTTTACCATGAAGGAGATGTACTATCATGTAAATGTCAAAAAAGCAAACACCCTGATGGCATGTCTTTCTTGATTACTTACTCCATAATGAGAGGCTGATCTGTAAGGGTCTTGTTCAGCATGACCGATCCAACCATATCTGCACAACATTAAAAATCAAAGTCATTTTCTGGATAAAAACTGCCTTGTAATAAATACATTATTTTAATTCTTTATTGTTAAGCTAAAGGATCACATTCTGAGTTATTTTTTTCCATTAATGTTAGTTTTCTTGAATTGTTTACATTAGCTTTCTATAAGCTATCCAATGAAAAGTCTCACTTCCTCCTTGTAGGCCTTAAAAGAAAATCTCACATAAAATGTATATATATATATATATATATAAAAGATTAATATAAAAACATTGTTAAGCATAAATACCTAAATATATATATATGGACATTTTTAAAAAATCTTTTTACTAGTTTCTACTAAAGGTTCCTGAATTCAAATCAATCAATGAAAGTAAACGAAAGTAAAGCTGGACCTAAAATAAATAAAAAAATAAATCAATAACTAAATAAATAAAATTGAATGGGTTAATTGTGAATATGTACTCAATGTCTGGTTGTTTCCCCAAAAGACAAAGATTGTTGTTTTATCGGAGGCAATCTGAGCTGTAAGAAGGACATCCATCTGAGAGTCTCCATCATAATCTCCAGGAACAACACTGGTGATGACAGTGCCCCTAAAACAGAAAGAGGGTCACTAAAACGACAGACAACGGCTTAAAAATTCCCATGCACAGAAAACTCAACTTGACATACACGTATATAACATTTAACCAAATACTTACTTTGGCAAATGGTCTTTGCTGATTTGAACCTTGGGCTTGAAATATGGTGGTGTCGAGTCAGCTAGGAATATCATCAGTTCAGATCCTAAAAAAAGTATGAAAACAACATAGAAAACGAAATAAGTTCAAATAATACATGTATTTACTGCAACAAACCATTTTCAAAGCAGTATTTTTCATAAATGGCGTCGGAAAATAAAAACACTCTAAAATTAATGAGGGCTAATGGAGCTATCCCAATTATCCCGATACTTAGATACTTAGAACCATATCGTTGTTTACGGCACTGAGCCAAACGCCTACAAACGGCTATTTAGCTCACATGCCATGAATGTTTAGAATATTAAGCATTACATACGCTCTCTGATAACGAAGATGTCAGTCTGTTTATCCGCGTTAAAATCCCCAAACGCTGCCACCGTCCCGTATCCATCGGCCCCGAAAAGGTCGGCCGTCACATCCTGGAGAGCAAACGTGCAAGACTGTCCCGACAAAATTAACAAAAACGCCAAAGTATTTGTTTTAAACATCCACATCCTTCCACTGCTACAGCCCCTCACAACATTACCAACCGCAATACGGCACTCTGCTTTACAGCAGCAGGAAACGGCACCCTCTTTAGAATATATCAAGTGAAATGGGACTCTACATGCTAGTGTTTCTGATTGAACACTGGGTTTATCGTCTGAAGGTGGGAAAAGTGGGGAAATAATGAAAAAGTATGCTTTTACAGTTTTTATTATTTACGTCAGTGTCGTACTCACTGGTAGTTTGACAGCAGACATACGCGTGAAGTTACCAAACGGTAGCATTCATAAAACGGAAACTTAACTTCAAAATAAATCTTACATTTCTCAAACGTAATGCCAACCAATGCAATTTAAATAAAATAAGATGAATAAAATCCAGGAATTAGCTTAAAATGGGCTCGGCTAGTACGGAATTGCCTTTTGAAAGCTCAAAAGCACCTGCATCTTAATCTTGACAGTTTCTCGCAAATTCCATCGTTTAATTTTGAAAGAAGACACCAGAAATCCGTTCAACTCTCCGGTGAGTCGACGCAGTGTAAACATGGCGAGTCTGGCAGATGTCGGCTGGAAACTCTTGGAATTCAAAGCCCGGTCAAAGAGATCAGGTCTGAGTCCTTACTTTGCATGATGTCGTACCGTGTGAAATGCCGGTTAGTTTCGGCTGTGCCAGAGCATGTGTTTGGACTGTTTCTGTGCTCGGTTTGCTTCTGTGTACACACATTTCATTTGTGCACTATAGCGGTGGCACAAGCACGAAAGGTCAGGGGTGCACTTGTGTGGTACTCTGGGGCTATTTTAGGCGCTTCTCACTTGGTCTCGATTCGCTATTACATCCCACCTCCACTTTGCAGTCATCTGTCATAGCACTGTGCGAAAGTCGCATCCAGAGAAGCCCTCATTTTGGGCCTGGAAGAAACCCCTAGCACACAATGTACCCTGGCACAGGGAAACGACTTCTCTTAGAAACTTTGCAGGGACTAGTTAGGGTAGAAATTTCCCCAGAAATTCGAAATTTGATCTCATAAAGGACAGGGGGGGGGGGAAATCAGTATGCACTGAGAATGAGAAATAGACACTTTCACAGTAGATCAGTTAAAGTCACTGCTGGTTCTCTAAATTACATAGGGTTCTGTAAGATCTGAAGTAGATCTTAGAGGTTGAGGTAGTTCTTTGGCTTCTTTCATAATTGCCATAGTAGAAAGTAGCCTAATTCATCATTTAATTCCTTAGCATATTCAATTATTTGATGCATTTTGCATGTTCATGATCATTGTCTGCCTTGTGTGTAATTCATTGTTGATTCATGCACGTCTTCAATCTAACTCTGTGCTACTAACTCCTTCCTGTGAATTGCAATAGATTTCTGATTTAGCTGAGAGAGAGAGAGAGACAGAGACGATTGGCCTTAATTTCACCTTTTGAGAATGGCTGTTTCAGTGGCGGCGGCTGCCAAGCCTCGTCGGAAAGTGCAAAGACTCGGTAAGTGGCGGATTCGGATTTGAGGAAAACAGCGCAGTCGTCCTCAGACGGGAGGCCATGAAGGCCTTACGGTGCCTTCAGAAAATGTTCATGCAAACTATAAAGTCCATGTTGTTCATTGTTATTCTTCACACAGCGCTCCATACTGTCAAAGTAAACCCAGCAGTGCTGATGCTGCTACAATTTAACAACCAAGTTCTCCTAAATGAAGCCTGTAAATGGCTGCACACCTGTCTGAGAAAGGGCCAACGGCTGGTGGTATATTTAGTTTAAAAGCTGAATCATAATGTTGAGAGCGTTATCGGCTTAAACACTGGACAAAATAGTGTTGAGCCACTAAAGGCTCTGTTGTGTGGGGAGGCCATACACAACAACGGCCCTCATCACTCTGAAACAGGGCGTTTTAACCCTTCAATGTCCAACTCAGCCATTTGGTTTTGTACTTTTAAAAAAAAAAACGATTATTCTTGGTCATAAAACATACGAGAGGAGGCGGACTTACCCACACTGGCTCTAAATTTAAGTTTAGGTATGTGATGCCTAAATTAAGTGTGAACTGTAACCTTTCTTTTTAAATAAGTCACCCCAATGATCAATGGGGGAAAAAAAACTTTGGTTCTGGTCATAATTGCTCCAAAGAAATGGAAAAAAAAAAAAAGCAAAATCATTTCCCATTCTTTTTTTTTTGCACATTTTAGAGGGTTGAAGAGAAACTTCTGAAACATCACCTTGCAAATAAGATCAGTAATTGAAACATGAAAAAAGTCATATAGGTGAATTATACATTATACATTTATGAATATTGACATGTGTAGATAAAAACCAGTCATGTGATTGTTTTCTTCTCTCTGATCAAATGTGATGGTACTAGTATCACACTGGGAATGTGATTGATTTTTTTCTGCACCAACTGTTGATATATAAGATGCAGGTTAGACTACAGTGAAGAAATGTGTGAACATTGGCTCCAAAAACAATTGCCGTTCGAGCCAAATTTAAAAGGCTAGGAGGATCTAAAACTTTACTCATCGTGAGAAGCACGTGACCCCCCCATCTTGTCTTTTTATGGCAAGTTACTTAATTTCTTGACAAATAGGAAACCGGCTTTGCAGCATTTCTTGTCACTTGTTGAAAGAAATCGTCAGTTACTTAAGTTCCTTTTTGCTTTAAAGTCCCATTGCTGATAGGATGGCGCATTGTTCCCCCACTTTAAGACTTTAAATGACACAAAAAAAAATAAATGAAGTGATATCCAGCGGTCTTGGCGAGTGAAGCTGGAGAAACCCAACGCCGACCATTCACGTTTTTGTCTCACGCCAGGAATTAAAACCGCAATACTAGACCTCCACAATGCTACTTTCAAGCGTTATCTTCAAACAGATATGGATTGGCTTTGTCCCCTGCAACTTTTAAGCTGATGAAAATTATGCTAATTTGAGGAAGAATGAATTCTTCAGTACCTGTGGTATTGACCCAAGGTCGAAGCCATTAAAATGCAAATCTAACAAAGTGAAAAGTGTGTGAAAATGGAGAGTCTTACAGCGGTAGTGGTCGGGGGTCCCTTCCACTGATTTCTCTCAGAAAAGAACGAAATGCGGCTCGACTGTCACATTACGGTTTGAGAGTTTAGCTAACGGCATGAATCTTATTTTGTCAGCGCGGCGCTGAGTGATGCAATGTGTTGCAGTGAAAACTGAATTTAATTGCTGTGCCTGGTTTTATTTGTCCTTTCATTTCCTTTGCCTCTTCTGATATCCAAGGTTGATATTAATAAAGAATACAAACCAAAAAAAACACTCTTTTTTTGTCAGCAAACACCTTTTAGTCATTAAATTGATATTGAATTGTTCTCCTTTGCAATTCTCAACCTAACTCAGAAAAAGGAGGTCTCATTGATTGCATCTTCTTGTTAACAGTACGAGATGGAAACAAGACAGGGATGGCAAAAATCTACCAGATAGATTGACTTTTGAAGCATTAGTTTATGGGAAAGATATTACACTCCGCCAGTGTTCGGGGTGGTTTAAGAGTGCTGTGTATGTATTCCTCTTCAGGTTCCATCTATGAACCTCTTAAGCTGTCCAATCTCCAGCGAGAGGATGAACCTCTGTGGGAGAAGCTTGACCGCCACTACAGCGCGGGTAAGTACACGCGCTCTGAAGCGATAAGCGTTCGGCGGGTTGCGCGCCTTGCAAACCTAAATAACATCCTGATAGGACAGCCTCTACGCGGCTTGCAACTGCAAGCTCCCACATAAACCGTAATTTCACATGAAAACCACGATTAAATTGAAATTTGATCAATCATGAATGAACACATCTGTCTATTATATTTCTAGCCTTGTACCTGCTGAGATGATAATATTTTAGGAGTTTCAGTTGTCTGCACAGGTGAAATTTTTTATCTTATAATATTGATGGAAACCAACAGATTGTCATCTGGACCGCAGGGACTCTAGGCCACAGCGGTCTGTCCAGGATGGCTCCATCTGGGGTTAACAGGCAGCATAGTGCCAGTACGAGAATCAACGTGTCTGAGTTAGGGGTCTCATTCCCATTACCTCTGGCATCTGACAGCCCCGTTGGTTTCCGATCCATAACACAACCAGACTAATGTGATTAGGTGATTTTTCATAGGAGATAAAGAGAAAAAAAAAGGTTTTTAGGATTATCAACTTTGATGTCTGATTTGCCTGGTAAATATTTTTGTTAAATATATGTACGGTAGGTAAAATGGCTTTGTTCTCTGAAACTTAGTGTAGCTAGCGGCTCAGAGCTGTGCAAAATGAGCATCTTTGTTTAATTAAAATCCTAATTTTTGCCAAAATCTTTGCGCCTGAGTCCTGTTTTGAACCCGGCCTGACAGACGTCATACACGTCGTGAAATTTACTTTGGGTGCCAAGTGGAATATTTGATCGCATTTCCCTTCATATGCTGGAAATTTTTTATTTTTAGGCAGTCGTAAGTAGAGGTTCTACTGTAATTGGCAAAGCCTCTCTGTTCTCGCCACAGAAGGGATGAATCCACGTTAGCGCTGACTTTTGAATCACCAAAAAGATGTGAGTGCAAAACTGGTGCAACACGGCCGTATGTAGTCTTTGCATTCTGTGCTCACCAAAAGCTCACCTCTTTACACGAGTAGATGTCATTTTCTCTAGAAATTCATTTTGGTTTTGGGTAATGAGCAGAAAACTTGACTTTAAAAGTTGTCAGTTGGTCATTGCATTGCTTTCAGTTGGCCAGCAGTCACAAAACATGGCGACAGTTGGGATCTTTAACAAGTTAAACGTGTAAGCATTAAATCTGTTGAAAGTATTTACTGTTTTTCCACTGAGGGGACATACGAGGACTGTGGAAAACGAGCCCGACCAGTTTCAAAGGAATTATTTCTTTCTTATTTGATAGAAATGCACGGCGTCCCTTTCCTTTTCTCAGCATCTGAGACAAAATTGAACTCATAATTGGGTTTAAATCGGACACAATCACGTAGAAGCGCAGCACACAAAATTCTGACGTAAAATGCTCTCAAGTTGGGCAAAACAGTCTCAGAAGTAGTCACTCCAGATGCTTTTCTTTTTCTTTTCTTTTAACTTATTTGATCAAATGCATGTTATTGTAGAATCAGTGATTGCTGTGTTATGTTATTAGAGCTAGACATTCTGTATTCATCGTAACGGGGCTGTCTCACCCGAAAACGTTCGTTGTATAATCAAACTAGATGCTGCATTTGGATAACATAAACCACGCTTATCAAAGCCGCGTGACAATCCGCACCAGGCATGTATTCGATTTTTCTGTGTATTTTGCTTTGTTGTGATATCCTGGCATCCTCCTCCTTTCATTTCACACAAAAATCAATACAAGAAGGGCCATAGAGCCACGGAGAGCATGAGCAGAAGACACCACCTCATCTAAGATGGAGATGTATTTGGTATTCATGGAACAGGCTCCTGCCTTGCCTCGGGCTCTCTGTGGCTAAAAGATTCTAGTAACACGGTACAGCATGCTGTCCCCCGAGGGTCAGCACTGTGGGCAATAACTTGACTTTTCGTAGTAGCTCTCATTGAAAAAGGGAAAGTTCACTCCCGTTTGGCACACAGGTCCTGACATTTTCCTTGAGGGAATATCATTTTCTTTTTCTTTTTTTTCTTTTTTTTATATTTTTTACAGCATCTTTCTTAATTTCAAGGTAAATAAGGTGCATGAATCTTGCTGGTTTGGTCCAGATTTCATTGTTGTTCAGCCATGACATGCTCGCAAAACGTCCTTTTTTGTGTGTAACAACTAAAGAACATGCTGAAAGGGAAAATTCCTTCATCCAAATGTGTTCAGCGATGAGCTAAATTAGCATTTCTGAAAATTTCCATACATAATTTCCCTGAACTCTTGGCTTTCTCTTACATATGTTTCTTCACAGCATCTGTACACACAGCTTGCATTTGCAAATTAAAAAAAGAAAAAGATCAGTCAAAGCCAAGATGTTGCACACTTATTGACCAGCAGCTAAACATGACCATCAAGCTGAAGTTGGACGGGAATGCGAGTATCGGCAAATATTCTCAATTTCATGCCATCGAACAGTTTAAGGGGGAACATGAGTAACTAGCACACATGTTCCTGATTGTAGCCAGAGCTGCAGCAGAAAGCTCAGTTTGAAGTTGCCGTTTAAGATTTAATGTGGAATGGCCGGATATTCCAAAGCGTCGCGGACAGTGCATCAGTTACCCTGATTGGATAAAGAGCTAATCCAAAGGAGAGCTTCTCCCCCTTTGCCTGGTGGATACATTTGCAGAGACAAGCTAATGAGCAATTTCCATTAAAAGATGTGAGCAGCGTCCATTTCTCTCCCTGCTGCTCCAGCATTCAGCATTCAACTCAAACGTTCGACAAATGGGGCAAATTGACAAAACCTCAGCGTCTTCGGCCTCGCATTCTCTTTTGCGACTGCTGCGTTTTTTAACTTTTCACAAATAGGCGATTGTTGATTTAGATATTAAGTAAAGTCAGACACAGAGAGACTGATGGTAGAATAAAAGAATTGTCGGGACACGAAGTCAAGATAATAGTCAAGATAATAGTCATCTATCCATCCAGCCAGCCAGCCAGTCAGTCAGTGTCCACCGCTTGGAGAAATATGGCAAAATGATTCTTTTTGTGGGAGCTATTATGGGAAAACTGAATGAGCAATCGCAGAAAAAAATGAGACAGAAAGAAAAGAGAGTTTTTGTTCTGTTTTGTTTGTTAACATAATTGACATCATTTTGACGGTCTATTTTCTTAAACAGAATTCTGTAAAATTAACTTAATTTTAAAAAAAATTTATTAGTTTAAGCTAATATCTACTGTCATTTCCAGTGTAGTCAATGAATAATTCAAAATTATATCTGGAAATTCTGCAGCATGTAGTTCAAAGGAGTGCCACAAAAAATCCAATCCAGGTCAGGATGAGGTTTTTGGTTCTGGTGGTTGCTTTGCTTTAGACTTAAGACATTATTCCTTCACACAGTTTGGTCCGGTTTGAATATAAGAAAAGCCTTTAAACGGCGTGAAGCTCGTCGACGCTTCCTGAAAAAAAAAAAAAAAAAAAAAAAACGCCTGTTGGGACCGTACGCACCATTTTCTCTCATGACACAGCTGATTGGTCAGCGCTAATAAAGACCAGGCAGATTGTCCGTGTTTTCCTGCGCGTACGAGGGAGACAGCGAGAGATTTCGCCGTGGCTTCACGGGATTGTTAACGTGGGTTTTCATTAGGCCCACGATGTACGTTTGTGTGTGTAGAAGGTGGCGGAAGACAACGCACGGGGGGGGGGCTTAGGGCGCAACAGGTGTCGCTCTCAGTTGCAACCAATTTGCTCGTATCGGCGTTGTCCAGCGTCCCCTACAGCAGCAGCTCCATTCAAACTTCACGGATTCTTAAAGAAAAGCCTTCTGCCAGATTGCGCGATGTGGAGAAACGCAAGCCTTAATTGTTGTGGTGGGTGGCAGCTGGAAGTGCTTGTCCAATTCTTGGAGGGAACAAAGCCAACATTGTTATCGCCGGCACACAGGCCTCGCTGCCAATATACCTGCTTTCTCTTTCTCTCTTTTCGGGGAGCAGGAAAAAAAAGAAGGGCAGAGAGGGCCGACGCCGGGTGACAATGACAAATCAAACCGGTTACGTTTTTTTTTGCTCCGTTCACCGCCTTTTGTCCCTTTGTTTCAATTCTGCCCCAAGCCCAGTCGAAAGCCGCGACATTAGGCTTATGTCGCTGTCCTGAATGAGGATTATTTTTTCCAGTTTTCGGGAAAACACCATTGGCAGCTTTACCTCCATCAGAGTTCACTGCTCCACTATTTTGTCCTCTATCTCTGTTTCCCCCCCGTTTCTTCCATAAGTCTCAAACTGCTCTTGTTTATTTTTTCTATGTGGCAACTCGGGCACACTCCACTGATTCCTCCTACTTCTTTATAATTCTGGAGACAGAGGGCAGGCTACTATTGTGCTCCTGTCTGGCTCATGTTGCTTGAAGAATCAAGGAAACAAGATTGCGTTCTTTTTCGATTTCGTCTTATTTACATGACGCCCAAAAGAACACTTTAAAGATTCAGAAAAAAATCAAGCCAATTAGAATAGAATCCAATTCGTAACAACACAATCAGGATCCAATCAATTGTGAATCATTAAAACTAGTATTAGACCAATTCTAAAAATAGAAAATAAATAAACGTTACCCTGCTAAGACAACCAACCTATTACATGGAAACCTCTCTTCGATCTGGTGTCCTTGAGCGTACTGTTAGCAATTGAGGAAAGACAAAAAAAACTCGCTTTTCAAGAGGAAGAAACCTCGGGCGGACAGACTCTGGATGGGCGGCCATCTGCCTGTGCCAGCTGGAGGTTGGACAGGAAGCAGAGGACGAGGCACCGCGACACCAGTCTGGGGATACCTGCTGACGAAGAGAAAAGAAGTCCATGGCAACATTGGCATATGCACACGGAGATTAAAGGAGAGCAGAGCGAGGAAGGGGATAGTCCCTCAGAAATCGAGGCCAGAAGCCTGTTGTTTCAGGGTCACCTGAAACAATGATCCCTTTTCTAAGTCACTGTGAGGTTGCTACTTAAACAAAATGTCTTCTTCCTCTCTTTGATTTGAGTGTTTCCAGGCTGGTTCCCCGTGTTTCCCCGAACTGACCTAATCACCTCCCGTATTGAGCCAGATCTCTGTTAAATTTGCATTTGTTTTCATTGCCGCAGACCCTACAGGTTACCGTAGAAAACCTCATCGGCTCAGCAGCGGTAGGGAAATCATTGTTAACAGCAGCTTGATTTTACGAGTTCCGCCGTTGGTTTTGTTATCATATTTCCTTGTACGCTTTGCCGTGGAATGCAGAGATTAGGCATTATTCTCTATCGTTTTTATTTTTTTTTGCTTTTCCTTTCCCCCCGCGTTTCCCTATCCATCGTTTTCTTTCATTTTCTCCGTCAGTGCTGTGAAATGGCCCATTGTAAGAGAGCAGACTGTGTGCGTCTGAGACATTAGCTGCTGATTTAGTGGGACATTAGCTTGATGGATGGCAGGGCAGAAATTTCCAAACAACACTTGATTTGCATCCAGAAGAACTTTCAGGCTGAGACTGAACAGTGTTCAGCTCATTCATTTCTGTCTTCTGTATCCCAAAAAAAAAAAAAAAAAGAACTCCACAGCAGTGTATAAAGTAGATTCATCTTTTGAGAGATTTTTTAGAATGGAGCGATATCAAATCTTTTTGGCACAGCATGTTAAAGATAAGTGATAGTCCCTTTTCTTTTTATGTGAGTCATCTACAACTGCAATGTGACAAAGACAGGAATTGCCAAATATGGTAAACAGTTCTTTTAATGCATACTGCGAGGAACCAGGTTACTCGCGTTCTTTTGCTGAACTCGCAAACACAGGTATGCTATAAACTTGTATCACTGTTAGACGTATATTTCAGAATCGTGGATTCTTCTGTTGGCAGCCCTATAATTCATACCTCATTTTCCATTTAAAAACGAGCAATTTTTTAAACTTCCCTGTACCATCTTACAAATGAAAGCACTCGAGACATTTAATTGAATTTTCTTAAAAAAAGGGCTGCAAGTAATAAATTAAGAACCTCACACACATACGCACCCACAGAATTTATGCGTTACATTGTGTATCATACACTTGAAAGACTGGTAGAGTCTCCCAGTGTTAAAGAGTGTGAAATTCCCCTTAATATGATAGTTAACACTGCGATAAACACACTGTTATATTAACTCCAGTGAGTGTTGTCAGACAAATATACAAATCTGTGTGTCTGCATGTGCCTGAATCTAAATAAGAACTTCATCAGTGCTTCAGCTGATAGTGGGAGGAAGACTTTGTGATGGGTTTATTAATATTCTCACTCATCCATCCAATCGATCTCTTGATCCGTCTGCCGATGTGACTGCCACCTCGAGTTAACCAATCCATATACACATTTCCACCCCCCTGTCTTATACCAGTACCTGCTACCTCCAAGATTCCTTCTTGGACACATCTGTGCCACAGGCGAAAACAACACACTTCTTCTTAATTGCTCTCTCCCTCGTATTTGATCTTTTTCATCTTGCGTTTTAAACAAAAATAATTTTATTCCTGTCTCAGCAGTTCTTTTGTTCTTTAGCAAATGACAGTCCTGAATGGATAACCCGATCCAGGACCCCCCCTCTCATTTGCACCAGCAGAATGTTCTGTTGAAAAATGAAGCGATCCCTCCAGACACGTTAGTCATCAGTGAGGGTACCGCTCCCGGAGAGCTGTGTTTGTGTGTGTGTGTGTGTGTGTGTGTGTGTGTGTGTGTGTTTGTGTGATTGCTTTCTCTGAGGCCCTGCGTTTCAGCATGAATTACTGGAGATCCGCCATCTGTTTACGCATCAAGAGCATTGGACTGATGTTCTGCTCTCAGTAGCTTTCCCATAGTACAGGATGCACCGTTCAACACGTTTGGACAACAGGGCTTTTCAGTGAAAGGTCTTTAGATCAGCAAGGACATTTTCGGCTTTTTTTTTGTGGTGGTTTGTTAATACTGTGCACAGCAATTTTTAATAAAAAAAGCTGTAAAAGCTGTATAAATCAGCTATGTTGTCGAGACAGCATTTCTGGCTGCTCCGTAAGGCTATGATTTAGTGGATTGGCACTTTAAATGATGGTCAAAAGATGGATCTGATAATTACACTAAATGTAAAGTTAGCCACTCAGAGGGGAAATCTGTGCAGTATCTCTATTGATTTCCTCATAGGTTTTCTGGAAAACACATTCTTTTTTTTCTCTATAGAGCACCTTTATGAATGTTTTCTGCGCGCTTATTTTTTAAATGAAAGGGCAAACTAAGTTTATCCTCGGAGTAACTTATTTGTCCGACTGTTTAAATTGGTGTGAAGTGATTTTACAAAAACAGAGCAAAACAAAATGTTCCTTTTCAAATCATCGGGAGCAAGGATTTAATCAAAAGCAATCAAAAATCAGCACTAAAGAATGAACAAACACCACAGATGGCGTGAACAAAAATAGTTGTTTTTTTCAAAATGATGAAAACTTTCCGAGTTTCTTCTCTGTAGCTAACATCACTCAGCTTGCACATTAGTAGTTTGCAAATTCCTGACATCAACTGACCAAAGTCAGCTTGTTAAGTACGGTCCACATGTTCTGAACCAATTCTCAGCTATTTTTCTTCTGTTGTCACACACACACAAACCGGTATATAAACTAACAGAAGCTTAACAGAAGAGCACATTGACTGTTAAAAACCATTGCCCGCAAATATCTTTCCATTGCCCTTTTCCAAATGGAATTCAACATCATTTCATTACATTTGATTGGATTTATGCCAAGATATGCATATGAGAGTAACTGGTCTGGCGGTGCCTTCAGAGGAAAAAGAGCTGTAACAGCTCTCTGGAACCTGTTAAATATTCTATTTCCACACTTCACAAATGCAGACAAGTCATGAGGAGGGGGAAAAAAAGTGGGTGAAGTGCCTGCTGGTCCATTACTAGATGACTACTGTCTTCCTCCGGCCCTGCATCTGTGTTCAGCTGACACTGCAGAAAGGAATGAAATGGCTCTACAACATGTAAAGCAAATGTAAAGCACCCCCCATCCCATTCAGAGTTTGCGTTAGAGACAGAAAAGTTGTTGTTTTACACTGGTCTTTTAACTGAATGTGTATTTTTTTGTTTTTCAACCCAACACGAACCTGTCTAATTACTGAAACGTACAACTCCAGCCTGGTAATTTCGTCTGTCCTTTATTTAAGTGATTTAACAATGTATGTTTTTTATGAATACATCTCTTTTATCACAGCTCGTGGGCTATTTGGATCTGTTGCTACGAATGCTTTTGTTTGGTTACTTTATATATTGGACATCTAATTAGCGATTTCCTTCCATAAAGCTTCAGCTGCCGCAGTACACCATCTACACTAGTGTATTTAATTTAGCCATAAGCTTTAATAGAATAATGGATTTAAATCACTGTAAATGAAAAGCGACTAACGGTACATTAAAGCGGACCGAATACTGAGTGTACAAATTTTCCCCCCGCCGCACGCTTGCCTCCTCATGCTGTTCTGCTGTAGAACGATGCAGAACAGCGCCAGCTGCCCGTGGAGCCGTTTTTTTTGGTGTTTCAGTGACTGTGGCTTTTAACAAGTAACCCTTTCATTTTAACATGACCTGTTCCATCTCACCCTCTGTTTCTCTCTCTCTCTCTGCATGTAGTCAAGACAACCATTCTGAACTACCAGAGTCCCACCACTGGCCTTTTCCCAGTAAAAACATACTCCGACTGCAAGGAGGCAAAAGTCCGGGACTCCCTCTACTGCGCGGCTGGGGCCTGGGCCTTGGCTATGGCTTACCGGTTAGTATACAGAATTCTTTCTCCCAGTGTCCCCACGAGTGATCTTAAAGGGGAACAACAACAGTTCCAACTGCTACTGGTGAAGTTGAACTAACTCCCAGTTTTACGATCAGATGCATGTTGATATTAGCTATGTTTTCCTTCAATTTAGAGATGGCCAAAGTCCATCATCTGAAAACATCAGTTTTAACATAATTAAATAGTGGTTCCAAACCCTGCAGCCAAATTGCAAGGCTATATTTTCCTATTTAGTACATTTGTTTTGACTTCCTCACACTGAACCAGAGTGCAGTTGTCATGTTGAACTGGTCCCATTGGTGGTCATACTTACACTAAATACTGTATAACCATAACAGACACTGACAGTCACGTTTTAACACTTTAACATATACCCGTTGTTGTTCTGACCACCACTAGAGGTAATATATTCTTTTTTACGTAATAGTCGGCTAAAAAAAAGAATGATGGGCCTGTCTTGCAGTGGACAGCCGTGTCCTTTTATTATGTGAAATTTGACCTAAGCCTTGTTTTTTATACAGAGATTGTACTTACTGCTTTCTGTAAATCACTCTGGACTCATTATTTGTCTCTGTGTCACTGTATAAATTAACCCAAAACTGTTCTTTTTTTTTTCTCTTTTCTATATTTAAAAGAAATATGCCACTATGATGTGACTTCAAAAGGATTTAATTTTGTGTAAGAATTTTTAGTTGCGAAAGGCTGATGAAAATGAAGAATCTCCGGCTAGATTCCTCACCATGATGGTGAACTCTCGCCTCCTGTGTCACCTCACGATTTCATTGAGCCCCGCAAGCTCTTTAATCAACCATTTTCACTCTATGTGCTCATGGACTCATTTTTTGAGGCCGTAGTAGAAAGAGCACTTCAATGAAAGGAGCCTGTTAAAGGACAGAGGTGAGGGAGAAAAACGAAAGATCCAGGGAGAGTCTGGAGAGAGGGAAAGTTAAAAGGGTTGAAAAGCTTTGATAAGGAAAGAGTCGGTGAATGAGAAGATGTGGGGAGGAAGTTAGGGCGTTCGGTGAGCAGGGAGAGAGACCAAGTGAATGGGGAGATAAGTGACATAGGATAAAGAAAGGGGAGAATAAGAGAAAGAGGGAGTAAGGAAATTAGATTGAGAGAGGGGACAGAGGGAAAGAGAGGGGTAAAAATAGAGTGCGCTGCAGTGATGTGACCAGAGGCAGATTCCAGTCATCAGTCATGGCTGCCTCCTATTAGAATTGTCTCTGGGATTTAATTAAGATGATTCTCATCTGACAGGCCTGACTAGCGCCATTACTTACTTCACACCCAGCTGCTGTGTGTCTTTTAGTGTGCGTGGCGTTCAGTGACCGGACCTAGAACTCAAAAACCGCTAAGATGGAGCGATATTAGATTTTCATTGCTTCCGGTTTTATTTGTTTTTTTACTGTTTTCATGGTTTTGTCGCGTTGTTTAATTTTTGTAATGCCACTATTATTTATTTGATCATGTTTTATTATGTAACAGGCCACTATTATCCCCTGGTTATTGTAACTTTTGATCTAAATAATAACCAAAGTTATTCTAAATTCCCATACAGGTAGATTAACAGGAAAAAAAAGTGTGACGTTATTCGGACCGAGGAAAGCAAACGCTTTTTTCCTACCTCACTCTTCACTCTCCGTAGCTGAGGTCATAATTTGTAAGACATTGTTCTCGTGCATCTGCTCTCTGACAGCTGCGGCAGGAATTTGCTGACTCGAGTAATTATTACTGCGTCTATAACTGATTGAGCCGCATTGCATTTCAGTTTTCAGCACCACCTCTCCAGCCCGAAGAACTGGTGAACTGGCCACAGAATCTTGAGTGTAGATGTGGACTGGCACATTCATGTTGTTTAATAGCATGTTCGAAATTATATATCTGGAGTCGTGTAAATGCGCTGAAATGCGAAGTGGGTTGAACGTTTTTCCAATTCTGACCTCTCTTTCAAAGCCAGAAAGTGGACAATCTACCATCAGGTGTTTCCGTGGCCAACTGTGGCTTATTTCTCCAATGTTTCCTGACAAATTAGGTGGTTAAAAGGTCCGGGGCGGATTCCAAGTGTTGAATTAGCACTTGGCAGTTGCTTTTGAGAATGTCCATGGTTTTAATAAAATTGATGGAGACCACTTTTGGGTGGACCGAAAGCAAAGTAAACCTCTGCCGGAGGAGTAAAAAAGTTTACATTGCCAATATTAAATAATTTGTGCATTTGCAACCTCAGCTTTACCAAAAAAGGTCGGAAGGTGAGCTTAAGTAAATGAAAGAAAGTTCCTTCAGCCAAGTTTGCGTAGGTAGCTGCCTCATTCCATTCTTCTTCATGGAAACGTAAAGGGGCTCAGACTCGGAAATGTGAAGACAGAAAGGTTTTCGCGTAGGCCTGCATGGATGATGTTATGGAAGGAATATTCAGCATTCTGAAGTTCACAAAGCAATACTTTCTTTGTTAGTGTCTGTGTGTAATTCCTGTTGTACTCTCACCTGTAGACACTGTGACTAAAACATTGTGACATGATCTCTTGCCTCACTTTCCAGACGTATTGACGACGATCTGGGGCGGACTCATGAATTGGAGCATTCCGCCATCAAGTGCATGAGAGGGATCCTGTACTGTTACATGAGACAAGCAGATAAGGTGAGCTCAACATAAGCCAACGTTCATACACTGTACCTAAACACTGTATCATACCCAGCAGAAACTAACAAGCGGGAGGATGGGCGCATCTTTCATATTATCGGCAAAATCCCTCTGGCTCTGTGCTGACTGTCAAATTGCTTTTGCTCCAAATTGGAAATAGAATGTCAACCATTGCCATGAACCCTTACAGATGTGTGGAACAGGCTATGGACACAAAATGCTGTGCGCGTTGCTTAACACCATGCGAATGCTGCTCTTTTTCTTTTTCTTTTTTGTGGACGAACTGTGTTACTGTGGGTGTGTAGAAGCACATGACTCCCGAAAGCTTGTCTGTTTAGGGGAGAGTCTTTTTTTTATTTATTTGCGGCGTCTTAATTACAAGGCCGCGTTTACATGGTTAATTACGCAGAGCGGCGCTCGTCACGGCCCCGTCTCCAGCACTTACAGGGAACAAGGCGTTTTTATTGAAGATGTGACATTAGGCGGCTGCTAGGTAAATAATACATCAGCCGGGCCCCGGCCGTCTGCTTATTGTATAGTTTACAGAGAGCCTTGTGTAAGCCTTGTATATGGGATTAGATGTTTAGCTATTGTAACGTCGCTCTGGTATCACTACGGTATCACTAAACATTTGTTAACACAGATTAGTTGCGTTTAAGCCTGGTTTTCATACCTCTCGTACTATTTTAGGCAGATAAAAACCTCACAAATCGGGCAGAATCCAGGCATCTCTGCTCCGCATACATAAATAACCGTGCCACTCAGCCCCTGTCTTCAAAGTGGTAGTTTTTCTATCAGATCTGCAGTAAGCAGGTATCTTCCATCTTTGCTATTCCAGCATCAATTCACTTTCCTCTTAGAGTCAAATGGGAACCTTTTCCTGTCAACATTTTTTTACACTAACCGTGGGTCAGAATGGAATGAAAAGATGTTATCGGGGGAACATGAGTTTTTAATCTGTTTTAAAACTCAAAAGAGAGCTACTTGTTTAGTTTATTTCAACTATTCAATAAAGACAAGAAATATACAGTAATGGTTTGAAACATAAACTGAGGCATTCTGAACTCCTCAAGTCCTTTTGGATGATCTCATTTGGCTTAGATGCAATAGTTTTATGTGGCCAAATCGTGCGTGAGTTGTCATTCAGGTATTTTACTTATTTGAAGCTGTGACACAAGAAAGACCATCCCGAGGACAGAGTCGCCTGCGTCTCTGGCTCTCCTGTAGTTTCCTCTTAGCACAATCACACACAGACACATGCATATAAGCCACAGCGGGATCGGTTGGAAGTGGAGCAGTTTTGGCAAAAGTGGGACGAAGGGGTTTCCGCTATGACCTGACTTTGCAGGGAAAGTGAGCCACAGAAAAGTTGTAAAAGTACGAAGACAAAAAAAAAAAAAGAAGCATAGTCTAAAAAAAGAGATAAAGAGACAAAGAGGAAATTCTACGAAACACCGGGATAGATAAAAGAAAGTAATGGAAGCAGAGAGCTAGACGTGAGGAGGGGGGAAGAAAAATGAAGACAGCCCAGGGTGGGCTTGACAACTGGGAGAGTCAGTGAGAGAGGTGGAAAATAGAGAAACAAATGAGGTAAAAATGGGACAAAGGGCCAATTATTTATAACCGCACAACAAGGCTGGCAGACCAGCTGTGATTTAGTGTGTGGTTGAGTCAATGCAGCAGGCTCCCACAAAGCCACCAACAAACCCCAGAAAAGCAAACATGACGAGCACGCTGTAGACGGTTTATCATAAAAAAAACTATGTCCACAGACTCCTATCTGCCTCAGAGCAGGTGATATTAAACTGCGTGCAGCATCTGTTCGGGTCATCGCTCGTGGGACGCCTGTGTTGACGGTGCAGTGCATTATATCTGGGGGATTCCAGCGTGTGCAGGACGGGGATATTAATTAAACAGAAAGTGTACGATTTGACTGAAGAGAAGGAGCGATGAGAGGTGAAAAGAATTGTCATCCAAGTTGATTTGCTGTTTAATTGGAAGACACTGATTGAAATTTGAGCGTTTATGAAACACTGGTTGAGGAATTCAAGCAAAAACAAGCTAATAAGTGGTGGTAAAAGGAGAAAAAGTGGTTGGAGAGTATACTTCATCACACGTATTTAGTTGAAGTTGAAGACAAGTTGATTTTCTGTCGAATTGGAAGATACTGATAGAAATGTGGGCATTTAAAGGAACTCTGGTTAAGGAATTCAAGCAAAAGCAAGCTAATAAGTGGTGGTGAAAGGAGAAAAAGTGGTTGGAGGGTATACTTGATCACACGTATTTAGTTGAATTGAAGACTGTCTATCATGAGGAAATAAACTTTTTATGCTTTGCTTTTCCCTGTTCTCCCTTAACCCTTTGGCCGCTTTGAAATGTTCTGTGTGGCGTGTCGTCCTGCAAGGTGGAGGAGTTTAAAAAGGATCCCAGCCCCTCGAAATGTCTGCATTCGGTGTTCAACGTCGACACCGGCGACGAGGTCTACGCCTACGGCGACTATCACCACCTGCAGGTAAGCCAGCAAGCCTACTAAGGAACTGCGTACAAACCAGATTTGCACCTGCTCACTTTGCAGAGATTCTGTTCAGAGTCACACGTTTGCTTGCCAATTTATCTGTTATGACAAGTTTAGTTTATTTCTCTCTTTTAATAAAAAAAAAGGAAATACAGCCTATCAGCTTTCTGTCAAATTTATTTAAGGATTTGGAATGACTTTCCCTTACAAACTGCGTGTGGATTAAATCGGCATTAAAGCATTTCATTTGTCTGTCAATTGTATTGACCGGGCTCAGTTTGGAGTGCACAGCATATGAACGAGACAGCATTACTGCTATTGGGTGGCTGATACTTCTTTTGAGCCAGAACGTTAAGAAAAACAATGTTTTTTTTGTTTTTGTTTTTTTACAAACAGACAGAAAAATATCAGGCTGTTATAACACTGTGTGCATGCTCTGTACGCGGCTAATTCCCAGCCCTTATTTCTGTTATGTGAAATTATAGGGGTAGAGCGGCTCAATTCTCCAGCTCTAATGGCAGACTAAAAGCTTTCATCACGTTTTTTCGGCACTTCAATCGGCTGTGGCTGTATCGACAAATTTGAGAAGATCACACGGTGTAAAACCGCTTTTTTTGATGATACCTCAGCTGGTCTCTCTTCTCTTTTGCTTTGGCTCCAGATCGATTCCGTCTCCCTGTTTCTGCTGTACCTGGTGGAGATGATCTGCTCTGGCCTCCAGATCATTTACAACACTGACGAGGTAAACAAGGCCCGGCACATGGGATGTGAATATCAGGTTCAAAGCCATCCTCTTAATCCTGACCTCTGCACCACACGCACACAGAATCAATCCCAAACGGCTTAAAAATGTCCTCTTTCAACATTTGGTGATTCGCGCATTCGATACAGACATATTTCCTCTTCCTGATCTTTCTGTGCACACTTGCTGACCTAAAAAGGCCGCTGACCGGAAGGGAACAAGACGGCTTCTTCTTCGTCAGTGCCCAAAAGAAAAGCAGCTCCCAGAATGCAGGATTGGGAAAAAGAGGAAACAGCGTCCAGGGGAGGGATTGGGATTTCCTACATGCTGAAACGGCTCTATTTCATGGGGTTAAAATTATGACCAGCAAGCACCATTCTCTAGCTGTTTGATTTGATGAGAACAGCTTTGCTGACTCTGGAATTGGGGCCACACGTTGAGACCCGAGCACCGAAAAGAGCAGGACACTAGAGAGCCGTCCACGTTGGTCAGCGCTTATGCTCTGACCTGCTAACTTGCTTGCCAAAAGGGAATAACGTAACATTATGTGTACCAACGTGTGCACGCAGCTGGTTTGGGAAAAAAAAGCCTTTGCACTATGTCTTCACACTTGACATTTCAGTGTGGACAAACAGCAGTTTAAAATAATTTTTAAGCGACCCTATGATTTAAATGAGAGACTTCAACCCCATTTTTATGAATCTTATTTTAAAACCCTCAAAAATACATCCCAAATCGGTACTCTTAACACCTAAGATTATCTTGTTCTACTTCCTGGAGCGGTAGCTGCTAAAAATACATGAGCAAAGGGTCCCGAAAGCCAGTTCGATGCAACCCAAATCCCCCAACAGATATCCTAGAGCGGGCACAAATGCAGGATCAGGGGGCAGTATATCATTTTTATAGCTTGGCTCGCATTCATATTTGTGCTGAGCTGCTCGGTTGACTTTCGGCAGTGAAACGTTTAGATGATTTCTCTATGAAAGCCTAAATGCCCCTCAGGGAATCGTGCTGCTAACGTCTTATTTGGCAGCACACCAAGCCGCTATAACTAAAAAGCTGTTTCCTCTGAATCTGCCCGCTGTATTTTTGATCTTTTTTTTTTTTTTGGGAGGGGTTTACTTTATGTTCCTCTCCCCAATAAAGCAAAAAATAAAAAGCCAGCTCAGCTGGGAAGTTTACATGACGTGTTCTTTACTATGTGGCCTCCAGGAGCAGCGGGAAAGCCCATAATTCGGTGGGCCTACGCTGTCTACTCTCCTTCACAGCCGTACTTACTGCTACAGAGTATCGAAACGTGTGCCCCCAGTTCAGGAAATCCATTTGTTTGCTAAATTGGGCTTGTCGGAATAAACTCAGGACATGGTGAAATATTGTACCGCCGAGCAATTAGCGTGGGACGCCTCCTTTTTTTCGCACACACGAGCACGCACACAAACACAAAGAGAAAAAAACAGTAATTTTTCTGCATTTGTGGCCCCTGACAAAACAAATTAACAACGTAATTGGTTTATTTATTTATTTTCGGCTACACGAGTGCAGCCCTGTCCGCGCAGCACTTATTTGCATGGTTAAACAGTGTTTACTTGCTTGTATAATTCAAACCGAAGCAGTCCATGCCTCCCCCCCCCCCCTCCGCCCCTACCCCATCCTTGATTCAACAAACATTATGTCAACCGAACAGGAGAGTTTGTGGTTTGGGTTCTCACTGCACCCTGTTTGAAATTTCTGACTAACCATATTAGTGGGGTATTTATTAGTTCGTCGCTGGCCAGCCTTGCCTGTTAAGTCCATTGAGCATTTACTGGACTGGGTTGGGAGCTGCATTGCAGTATTTTCTTTTTCCTTTTTTTTCTTTTTTCTGGAAGTGGTATAGAAAGGCTGCTGTGCATCCTCTGAGAAGATGCACTACCCTTTGAGAAAACGCACTATCGACCTCCTTCCAGATCCCATTTTCGGTCTCATGCAGCATGAAATGGAGCGACTCATTAGCTGGTGCGCATCACAGTGTTTAGCACATTCTCTCTCATAACCTTTTTTTTTTTTTTTTTTACAGTCTATGTGCCACATGAGTAAAAGCATGCATGTGCCTTTCCTAACAGAAAAAAAAGGAAAGGAAGAAGAAATGCAGAACTGGCCGGGAGCGTGGTCTAGCAGTAGGGGGACAGAGAGGCGTTTTTGGCCACGGGGCAGTAACATTCATTAAGATACCATTAAGATACCAAAAAAGTTCCCCTCATTAATTGGCCAACTCATAAAATCCCACATAAGCGAGTGTGCAAACACTTCTCCCTCCTTCCTCCACCGGCTAATCTGCTTCGCTCCATTTGCGCCCGCCCTGCTTCACAAACTGGCCCACATAAGTCCTACACAGGTTCTTTCGCGTCCTCTCGCATCTCTCTTTTTCTTTCCACCACTTTGTCATTTTCATTTAAATCTCTCATCTCAAGTACAAAATCCCTGCTAAGATTAGAGGCCTTAAAGTCGAAACACATTTTACACACAATACACGATACATCCTCGGAAATATTCTGTTTATGTGATGCTGACACCCAGAATCCTGCTGATGAGGGATCAGTCTATGATTGTAGGATCACGGACTCTATTTTAAACTGTCATGACGAGATGATTTTCCCTGTATTTGTACATTCAGCGAGTTGTCTTCTCGTAGCTGGTTGACTAGGTTGTTGGTTCGGATATAGTCACATTTTACTCCCTAATCAAATCTTGTTTACCTGGGATGGAAATCGAAATTCAGTCATCGTAGTGTACGCCTCTACGTCCATGTTTCCCACCGCTCATGTGGCTTTGACCGCAGCATGAATCATATATATTGCTGTTCCACATTCCGTTTGGAACCCTGTTTACCGTGCGCCGCCCCGGCTCGGTCGTGTTCAAAAGCCTTCCTGTGTTTCATGTCTGTTTTTTTTTCTTTCCTCAGGTTTCCTTCATCCAGAACCTGGTGTTCTGCGTGGAGAGGGCCTACCGAGTGCCCGACTATGGCATGTGGGAGCGGGGCAGCAAATACAACAACGGCAGCACCGAGCTGCATTCCAGGTCAGTCAGAGAACAAACGACACGCAAAGATCTGTGAAATTAATCCGAGCGACCGAGCGTTGTCAATAACATCCGCATGATTAGTTAAACTGTCAAATGCTAACTGTTTCATTCTCTGTCTTATTACTTGTCCGAAGGGCATTAGATGAAATAAAAATGTAATAATATTGTTTAAAAATTTAAGCTGTCAGAGTTAGATTTTTGATTTTGATGTTTTAAAGTGGTGAAAAGAAAACCTTTAGGGTAAAAATGGTAAATAGTTGGGAAGGGAAGGAAAATCTGTAAGGATAAGGTCTTCACGGTTACCCTCATCTCGCAAACTTTATCTCAGCAATTGGCAGGTGTCTATCATCAGCTCAGCGAATGCCAAATATTTCTAATTCAACAACTAAACCAGTCTAATACTCTTTTGAAAGTCATCTTAACGGAGTTCCTACTGAACAAAGGTGTGTTTTGAGGAGAAAAGAACATGTCTCGAACTGTTAAGTATTGGAGCCTTATTGGTGGCAGTTTAAGCTTGTATTCTAGCCTTTTTTATAGAGAATGTGTCTCAGGTATTGGTTTAGAAGTCTGTAAGCCAACATTACTCAGTTATAAATCAATGAACAAATATGTGAGTAAAGTAAACTGTATACATATAGATGGCTTCTACATCAGACTAAACACACATTCAGGGACACTATGGAGCACATTGAGGGATTCAAGCTTAATGTTTCACCAATCCCAAAGGTCTCAAAAAGGCCATCAGTTCAAGACGGGCTGAGAATCTCACAAAGCAAGAGGCCTTAGTTCTTAAAGAATGCTCCAAAAGTGGTGAAAAATAACAACAGCTTACTTTACAACAGTCTACAATCAAGTGTCCAAAGTGATTTAGCCCTTTACCTTTTTCTTGTCTCCAAACTGTGGAAAGGAAAATAACATGTTTATTTAAGAGTTATGAATTAGAAACTTTTTAGAATGATCCAGTTGAGCATTCTGGTTCTTTGATCTCTTTGGTTCTCACAGTAGCAAGATTTTTTTTGTAAACTGCCCAAATATGAGCGTATTACAATATATCCAACATTGGCAGTTATTGAATTATAGCAGATCATTTTGCTTTGCTGGGTCACTAGCCAGCAGTGTATAGCGATGATAATAGACTGCAGTAGGGTACAGAATGACAAGGTAATGACATTTATTTCTTATTGTGATATAGTATCCTTCTCAGGCTGTAATACAGAAAAAAATAGACTGAAGTACCAGAGATAGGAATGAGAACCACAAGTGTCGGTAAGGTGATCAAAATGACACTTTAAGAAAGGAAAAAGAGATAATTGTATTTTTGATATTTGGCCTAGGAGCGTATCTGTGATTTACTCCTTCCACTTTTCTTTTACAAGTGTGAATATTTCCAACAGCCTTGTGCGAAGAGCCTTCTTACAGCAACACAGAGCGGCACAGACCTAAGCACACAATGACTAGTTTTGTAGGTCTGTGCCACTTAAAAAAAACGAACCTTTTTCAATTTAGATATTATATCTGAATGTGCCTTTTCTAAGACTGAGCTTTATGTTTAAATATTTTCGACAAGAGTTTTCAATTCATCCAGAAGACACGGAACACATTAGCAGGCACCACCTGTAATGGTAGGCCTCTATTTTTTTTCTAGATTTGGGTCTTTTGTTAAACACTCTCAAGGGAATTGTGTTACTTTTATTACCTTTATTTGTTACTTTATGTAACTGCATTTAATCGATTTATCCAAATCTTTGTTTAGGGTATATCCTAAACTTGAATTCTATACTAAGCAGATTAAGCTGGTTTCCCCAATGGAGACATCACGTCAGCACACTTTTGCAAAATCACACAACAGGCAGCCAAAAATCTTCAAGAAAAAGGAAAAAAATGGCAATGGCTCAACAGTCTGAATGGTAGACAGCAGCAGAGATAAGAATTGGAACCACATGCTCAAAACAGCACCACTGTGTAAGTGAGCTTTTTGTTACTTGTTTCTTCGCTGATTTATCATCCAAGGTCGTTTTGGCCTCCTTCTCCTCCTCCCTCAGTATTTTTGATAAAGATCCTCAATTTCTGCCATGGCTTATCTCTGGGGAGCATGTTTTTTTTTTTCTTTCTCCAACAATCTACGCCCATTGGAAGCAGCTTGCCAAAGATATGCTCGAGGAAAGATAACAAATTCAATGTGGTGAAGAGGCACCGTGTCTTGTGCT